ACTGGGTTCAATGTCCGTATTGCACACGGTGGTACCATCGCAGCTGCCTTATCCAACCCCCTATTGTAACTATATTTTGGTGCTTTTTTTGTGAGCAAACTTTTGAATAAAATCAGTTATTCTTCCTTCGCCAACAATTCGTAATTTATTATCAGTGGGTTTGATTTGGAAGTGAAGCCTGCTTTAGCCGATGTTCACAGACAGCTTCTAGAAATTAAAAACGGTTACATACTTTCCTAGTAAAGGATGCCCAATAAATACATAGATGGTGCTGCAGTTAGAGTGAAACGAATGAATGTGAGGAACTAGGCGACGGATCACCAATCGTACAGGCTAGGATTGGGCTGTTTACTAAGTTCACTATACGGTACAGCCGCAATGATCTGTTGTGAAACTTACCACCGTAAGTTAAAGCACACTGGGATCTTGTGAAACATGGTTGTTTACAAACCGTAGTTTAAAATTATAAGACTCCAGATAATTAGTTCCATGGCAAGCTAGACGCAAGCAAGCAAGTGAACCGAAAGATGGAGGTCTTTATTTATAGCTTAGCCAAAAAGACTGCTGTACATTCAGATAGATATTCAGAGTGGGGACACAAAATAAATTTAGAAAATGTTGAGGTTTTGAGGCGAGGACTTCGGTCCACGTAACAGATTAATTGCCTAAACGGCAGAAATCGCCAAGTACCCCATTGTTAACGGAATAGAATATGTGGAACTGTCAAGTGTATGGAGTTAAATGTTAAATTAAATGTTAAATTAAAGTTTCCGGTTACCTGGAGCCAAGCAAGTAACTTCACACAATCCGCAAATAGCGAGTGCCGATTTAGGTGAAGCCATTGGTAACATGAGGAAACTAATTTGTCACAGACCGAACCCTTTGGAACAGTCGTTAGCTACAGCCAACATCGACTTCATTCAACTTCATGAGTATTCCGTTCCCAGGACCATCTTTTCCGTGCGCAGAAATGTGTTTGAAATGCTAGGCACTTTCAGTTTGTGATCGTTCGAGTTGAAGAATGTTCTCAATTCGGGATAACCAGTGTCATCATCCATAACACCTGTATTCCGAGCTAGGGCAGTTGGCAGCCCAACCTTTCAATAACTTAATTATCTAGCACTACTGAGTTGTTTGTCCTCCATATTTGCTTTGGGTTACTGATTTGCTTGTTCATCATATACTTGGATATTCGTTTTTGAGTTATTCATTTCATATCGTTGGACGGAAAAATGCGGCTGATCGATCGATCTTTGAGGAATGGGTCGGCGAATCCTACTCCAAGCCTTTTAAGAACCGTTCAAAAGTTTGGTTATCCATTCAGCAAGACGTCAGTTAAGCATTGAGGGAACCTAGCTCCAGGCTCTTCTTTCGTGGTAAACCGCATTATCGCATGTGTACCACATTCAAATGCTGAAGTAACTGTGCGGTACATGAAAAACAGCGTTTAAAAGAATGTCCGTGGGAAACTACTGATGCTTATAGTTGATACGTGTTACATTGAATAAATATTGTTTTGTAAGTATACCAGCGCAAACGCCAACAATGTCTTCATATTCATTTCGACCGCCACAGGTAGCCCGATTTCCCGATGCATTGCTTTGTAAGAGCTAATCAAAGAAGTTTTTGGTCACATTAGCCCTGAGTGCCGAGGTGGCAGAAATCGCCAAGCACCCCAGAATAGAGGTGAAAGTAAAATGGACAGTCTAACACATAGTGTTTGAATATCTACCTTCATACACCGCAGTCTGTCTCTGACATATGATGTGCTTGACCCCAAATTAGCTGACTTTTCGATACCTCCGATTCGGATGACCCCAACAATAATAATTTCGAAACATACGATTTGGTGATAATTGCCGAAAACCGTCAGGTCAATCTGTCAATGTAGGCTGGCCGGTGGGTAGGGTTAGGGACGAACTGATTGCGGCAAACGGGTTCGAACGGGTTTGAATCAATTAATGGTACTCCATTATACATCCAGCACTGCTATGAACCGCGAACAATATAGGTGGGGATTTGGTTGGGAATGTAGGAATGAGGTGGACGTTTGTGTTAGGGCTTCGGTTTGTACTTGCGTAACAAACCGATCATCACTGTATGCGCGGACTGAAGATAGCGTGACAAATATCTGAGTTACGGCAGATTATGTGTAGCCCCCTGAGAGTACCGGATAATCGAAAACCATAATTTGTTAGATAAGTGGACACGTCCCTGTGGAATCCCAAGTACCCTTCGCTGCACACTTAGTTTGTTATTCGGTCAGTTGGGCTTAGTGCCGCATACTTAAAATAACCCAACTACCCGTGCAAGTGCAATTACCGTTGGCATAACTGCGACGAGGCCTATTTCCATTCCTTTTCTCGCTAATTTAATTATGCATCGTCGTCTGTGACAGTAATGAAAAAATTAATGTTGCCTACTGAACACACAACACTGAGTGCTGCTTTCATTCAGCAGTGTTATGCCCAGCCAAAGTTTCCCTTTTTTGTTTACCAGCCACCCGGTGATCCACCAACATCAGTAAAGCACCGCAAACCACTTGGTCATAAAGTAAGCCTTGTTCGCATGTTGGACTAGTCATTGTCCAGCTAACCTTCTCCCTCTATCCATCATGCACAGAACACACGATAGCAGCACCGTATGCACTGTCATCGTATTAATGGCTAGAACAAGTTGTTTCATGTACGTTGTGCCCATTCATTTGCATTCCATATTTCCGTCTGATCATTCACAAACGTACGACTTGAAAGAAATTGGCCGCAAACACGTTCCGTGCTGCTCATCAGCCATTCTTTATGCGTTTACGTGAGAATCCCTCCCCCGGGAAACCAAGAAACTGAACGAAAGCATGGTTGCCGCCAATCTTCAAACGGTGCTCAGTACAAGGGTTCGAAATGTGACAACCCATGAGCTGCAAAGCAGCAACCAGCCATGTGGGGAAGCACTAACCAAGCATTGAACTGTCAACGCATTCATTAAAAGTCAAAGTTATAAAGCCATAAGCACCGCATTTAACGCACGTCCTAAAACACTAGTGTTTTATTTGTCCGCTTGGTTAGCGGAAACAAATCATAAGAATTAGCCTGTTACCTCGTAGATGCAAACATTGCATACTGCATTTCCCGGCCAATTGTTTCCGCTTGGTTAAGTGATGGCAGAGTTTTCACCTAGTTGGTTGCAGATGGACTCCGTATTTGCCAACGGAATAACCTTTTCCACTGCGGAAACTCCTGCGACTCACACGGTTCACACATGCCTAGCGTATTCACATTCCGAGGTTGCTTGTATCTTAGACTTCTCGGTGAAAAAGTATCGAAAATGAAACCATTTCGGTATTTTCCCATCGAAATTAGCAGCCTTAGGGGTATAGCGTCATAGAAGATGGGAACTTACCTGGACCAACCTAGCAACACGTAGACTGTCCTGTGGGATTGGAGTTTTACACTTCGTGCAACCTGGCCGGCCGCTTTTGGCGTAATCCACTTGGTACTGATAATCAACATCCATGAGTCATCAGACAATGTCCCTACGTGACTGTACCGCTGAACAGTGCTGTAAATGGAAACAAAAGACAACCAAAATGAACAAAAACTCGGTTAGGTTACGTACAAACGCAAACCACGATTTCCGCAACCCTACACGATGCTGAGCGCTCCACTTGTAAAACCGCGTAACCAACCAGATCTAGGCACTGGGCCTCGAGCAGCACTTTAAATCTGTTCCAAGCTCGGACCCACAATACCAGCCGACGAACTATCAGACCTCAAGTGAAAAAGGGCATCCGCCCTGATTGAGAAACATTATGGGTCCAAGAAGCTGAGACAGAAGAAATGAGAAAGTCTGAGAATGCGCGTAAACTGCTACGGGCCCAAGAAGGGCCTCCGGTGAGCCAAACAAGTCCCGATAAGAACCCATCTACCTATAAGAAAGCACCTGAATTGTTGGACTGGAAACCTCGGTCGCCTGTAGTTGCTCAGCCGACTTTCAACGCAGGTCTGGAAAGTCAACTTGGAACCTCCGACGACTTCATAAATATGTGAATAACTTTTGTCTGCTAAGCGTTACCTATATACCGGTCTCGATGATCTCCCATCCGCCCTATTCAAAGATGGCGGTGGCTGTCTAAATTATTTGCCTCTATCTGAGAGAAAAAGATGGTGATGTTGAACACGTAAACAACCCGTGCGTCAGTTCACGACGGTCCAAAGCAGAACTTCGTGCTCAAAGGCTACTTGGAAGCGCCATATTCACCTGTCAGATTACAGCCCTGATCTACAATCACGTGTGGTAGGGGTAACACGCAATAGGTGACGGTTATAATGCTAAATCAGCTTATTTTATCATCTAAATTCCGGGTTCAAAATGGACGCAACGTCAGTGTTGACCACGTAGATCCGTGATACCTAAAGCGCAAACCAGCTACAATGTATGACCATGCATTTCTTAAGAGACGGATTATTCCGTTTGGCTTACGCGAGCCTGTTCGTCAAACATTAAATTCAATGTGTGCGAAAGGAATACTGACTCCTGTCGAATCCTCAAAGTTACCCCACTGATGGCTGATGGTATTACAAACATTATTCGACGATCGTTACTTTAGCTTCTTCCACTGGAATAGGAGCAATTCTTGAACGTTGTGGTAGACCAGTGATCTGCATCTCCCGTCGACTTTCAAAAGCCGAACGCGGATATTCTCAGACTCAACGAGAAGCACTTTCTGTATATTGGGCTGTCAAACGGCTTCAGAAATATCTTTTTGGATCAAACTTCACCATTGCTACTGATCACGAGGCTTCGAAGTTATTGTATCATTTAACAAAGTCTCTGGCAAAGTCATCTGCCGCGATGGTGCAGCAGTGGATTATCGCACTGAGTTCGTATACCTACACATCGTTCTGCGAAAATGATTCCTCATATCGATTTCTTGTCAAGAATTCCAGCATGCGACTCTGATTCAAACAATTATCTGTGGATTCAACCATTACCAGTCAAGCGGGATGTGCTTGTTGCTGACACTAAAAGAAATTTCGCTCCCATTTTCTCTGCACTGCGACGTGGCTGGACG